CTTAGGATTTGACATAAACTTTCTTTATAATGTCAACACTTGTTATAATATTAAGAAAGAATAACAGCTTATGATCCTTAAATTTATTGTATGGAACAACAAAAAAGCCCTCAAAAACGTTATACATCAATGTGGACTGGGATATTTTGACTCTATAAAGACTATATAATATGATTTCTTTATTTTTCAAAACTCTACTTGAGATTAATAAGGCTTGCCTATCACTGAATAAAAGTAATTTTTATTATATAATAAAAGACACTGTATGCAGAATGCCCCTCATAAAGTACATTGTTTTATATTTTTCTATCATTGTTGTAAGACCAGAACATTTTGTAAATATTTGGAAAATTCAATGTGCATTCTTTCTAACATAGAGTCACTGCCTAGCAATAGTTAACAACTATGGGGAAACACAAAACAAAAAACAATCAAAATCAACCCATGAAAATAAATACCATGCTTAAAAGCGATACCACCTTCTGAATAAATTCTAAAATATACATTATTAGTCCAGTTCGGCTATTTAAAGTGTGGCAAAATACCCAAATCTACAGCTATAACGAAAATCTACACTTTAAATAGCACATTGGTAGAAATACCATTGATGAGAAACAAAATTATGTGCAGGTATTATATCTACCTATATAAAGATTTGCATAATAATATAGGCATGATTTCCTTATATACCACTTTGTTTGTTGGAACCAAAGAAAAGAACTTGAAAGAAACATAATTAAAACTAACTAAAAATCAGTAATTACCTAGTAACTTGTGTCCCGGTTACATTCTCCAGCATATCACAGAGTGTGAGAAATATCCCTCGCACACTTTTAAGTTTCTGAGATGCTTCAGACATTGGATAATGATAAAGAATTTCCTGCTGTTAAGTGAAAAGAAACAGAAATCAAACCCCCATATTTTTCAACTTTATTTTTGTTGTATAAAGTTCATACATTAAGAAAAGGACAAAAAGTGAATTCTTTCAGCAGAAGAGGAGTTTTATTCAAAAGGGGTATGCCTGAATTTTAACCAAGTAACTAGCAACTAAGATATTCTATTTGCAAATAAGTTGTTGTTAAGTACCATGGAGTTGGTTTCGACTCATAGTGACCCTGCATAGGGTTTCCGATGCTGTAAATCTTTATGTGAGCAGAAAGCCTCATCTCTCTCTCCTGGACCGGCTGGTAGTTTTGAACTGCCGGCCTTGAGGTTAGCAGCCTGATTTGTAACCACTACGATAAGTTAGAGACTGTTAAAGGTTATTTTGACATCAATATATATACTAAGTAGGATCCTGATTAGTTGAAGTAATTAAAATGAATTTCAAAAATGTTTTAAACTTAATCTCCTTTACAAGAATTTCTAATACCAATATTTTATTTTACTTTTCATTGTACAAATATTCTTACCCCTTTGTGGTTACATATCTAAATAAATAGCACATGTATCTTTTGTTGTTGTTGTTAGGTGCCATTGAGTTGGTACTGACCCACAGAGACCTTATGCACAGCAGAACAAAATACTGCCCGATCCTGGGCCAACCTCACTATTGTTGCCATGCTTGGAGTCCATCGATGCTGCCACTTGGCCAATCCATCTCGTTGGGGGTCTTCCTCTTTTCCTTTGACCCTCCACCTTATCAAACACGATATCCATCTCCAGCAACTGCTTCCT